ATGGTATAGTGTAAGCCCAACGGCCCAGATTGAATCTGGGCTGATGTGACGCTCAAGACTGTATATCGGTAATATAATTTTAATATTTTTTATATAAATTCAAATAGCATGAAATTTGGAGCATAAAATTTTCTCATCAAGTAGCACCTAATAAAAAATATTTAAAAACTAATTTACATAAAATAAATTGACCAAACTACCCCCCAAAACTTTTTGGGGGTATTTTGGTCAATTTATTTTATGTGAATTATTTTTTGATATTTTTTATTAGATTTGACTATTCTTGAAGAACAGACGCTCTAAATTTCAAGTAATTTGGATTTGTAAAAAAAAAAATTAAAATTCAATTATAAAATACAATTATGATCATTGGATCGGTTCAGATTCAATCTGGGCTGTTGGGCTTACACTGTTCCATGAGTGAATAGGCTGACATGAGATTTTTTTCAATATATATATATATATATATTAGGTATTGGGTATCTAATCTATTTTAATGCTTTATTTAAAGGCTTATAATTAATTACCAACCTTGGTACACCTGTTTCTTTTTCAGCATTTTTGTTGACATAAAATGCTGCACAACTCCATGGGGAGGAGCTTGATCTGATTAATTTTTTATTTAATAAGTCTTGGATTTCTCCTTCACATGTGGCTAATAGGTGAGCATTCATTTGTATGGGCCGAGCTTTGGTTGGAATCTTATCTTCACTAAAATCTGGTTCATATGGTAGGCTCACCATATGTTTCTTTCTTTCCCAAAAGGCATTGGGTAAATCACTGCAGATTTATGTTTCTATTTGTTTTTTTATTTCTAAAATTCTGGTAGTCATAGTTGTGGAATTTAACTTTTCTTCTATTTGTTTATATTTAATTTCTGATTTTAAGGAACACAGAAATTTCTCTTTATTTGCTAAAGAGGTTTTAACATTATTTATTTCTTTAGTTTTAGGTGTATCCATAAATTTCAAAGTAATTTTGTGATTATTAATTGTAGTTGAAAGACCATTAGTATCTATGCTTAAAGGATTTATAACATGGTGAGAAATGGTACTCCCAAAATTATTGTCTGATTTAAATTTTTTACCATTATGAATGGTGTACTAAAGCATTTTCCATTATTACATACTTCTGCTTTAGATAATTTATAATTTATTATTAGTCTACTTCCATCAGCAGTATTAAGTATTTGTTTGGTTTTATCAAAATATTTGGTTGGTACCAATCCTTCATTTATACAATTAAGATCTACCCCTGAGTCTATAAGGGCCATACTTTGAAAATGATATTCTTTATTAACTATAATGGTTACTAGAGTGAACCATTTTTGTATAGTAATTTTATTAATTAAATTTACATATTCGGGTTGAGTTCCTGATGATTCAGGAATTTCTTCAGTCATTAATTGGTCAAATTCTAATTCTTCAGAATTCTTTTCTTCTTTGGATATTTCTTGATGTAATTCTAGTATTTGAATTCTATTAGTTAAATCTCTTAATTCGGTTTTTACGTCATTTAGGTCTTTCTTTAATTCCAGAATAGTAGGTTCTCTATTATTCATATCTCTTGTACTTAGTCTTTTTACTATGTCAGAGAAGTTGTATTCATTAGGGCTTCTAAGAAGACTAGTGGGCTTATTCTTTGATTTAGTTATATTAATGAATTGAGTGATGATTTCCCTTTTTTTGTCTGGGTTTGTAATTTTTTCTATTAAATCTAATATTAAACTATCTTCATTGGTTAAAACATTACAAGTACAACTGTTATCTTCTTCTGAACTTGTCATGATTATGTGATCATCACTTATATACCCTATGAAATCAGAACTTGAATTAGATGTATCACTATCAGAATTACTACTACTAGTATCAGAAATGTCTAATGAAATTATTTCTTATATTTGGTTTCTCATTTTTTCATCTAAGATTATGTTATTCAATTTTTGTTTTATTTTATAATTATTTTTATAATGTCATACTTTTCCACATTTATAGCAGATGGGTAATTTCTTTTGCCTGTTTTACCTTTAGATTTATTTTTTGGTGAAATTTTTTTTATAAACTTATCTTTCTTTTTAGACTTTCTTTCCCTAAAGCGTTTTGATTTTTTATGTTGCTGATATTTCTTCTTTTTATGTGACTTTTTAATTAGATTAATATGATAACCAAATTGTTCGCAAAAATCTCCTAATTCTTTTTTTGCCTGTAATATTTTGTTTGTCTAATTGTTTCTTTAATTTCATATCTGTACACAGGGCTAGGCCTTTCGCACATATTTCAACAGATAATTCACCTAAGGTATATGCAGAGTATGGAATAGTTACTCCATGTTTATTTTTGAGTCTAGTTTTTATTTTTTCAGCAAATAAATGTGGTAATCATGCTATAAATTTTTATTTCCAAAAGTCTGATGCACTATCTTTCCTGGTTAATAATCTTGAAAAGAATACGTCTTTATACCATATATAATGTGATAGGGTCAGACATCTAAGATTAGATAATAGGTCTTCTGTCCTTGCTTCTAAGACAACAATACTTCCTACAAAATGTAGGGTAATAGTATAAATTAAAGTATTGACAGTTTCAGTTTCACTATATAACACATCTTGATTTTGTTCATTTTTGACTACCCATTGTTTTGTTGTACTTAAGATTTGGGTTTTTGTTACATCATTTACGTGGAAATCCCACCATCCTTTTAGCCATCCAGAGAATCCACTAATAATGGCTTTTGCTATTTCTTGGTCATGGCTTCCAGCCATTTTGCATGCGGAGGCATACATGGTCGTATATCTCATAGTGTCTAGTACTTGGTATTCTGACATTCAGTCAATATTTCAATTTACAATTGTCTGTCCTGAATAGGAAGTAGTAGGTGATATAAGATCTTCTTCAAATTGTATATCTACAGGAGTTGGCCTAAAGTAGTACATCCGTGATTGGGCAACTGGTCTCCATTTTGATCCATAAGATATTTTATTTATTTTATCTTTATGATCTATAGGTAGGGCTTCTGAAAAGGCTAATTCCCTATTCTCTAAACTATCTATGATTTTTGGTAATTCTTAGAGGGTTTGGATGTTTGCTTCCTGTATTACAATTTTTCCTAGAATATTAGAAGAGGGTACTTTTGGAATTTCAAATGTTTGGAGTTCAGCTACATTCTTTTTCCCTTTGTCTGACGATCCTATTTGAACCCCTTTCGTTTGATATCTAAAGCAGCTAATTTTGAGATCAATTGGTCCATTAGACTTTTATTATTTTCTCCTATATGAAATTTGTCTTTATTCATTTCAGGAGGTGGTTTGAATAATATAGACTTCTTTTCTATTATTTTATCAATAGTGGGCTTCAGATAATTTTCTATTCTATTAGTTTGTCTACCTATTGATTTGATATACATATTAGTATAATTATTCTGTTCGATTATATGTGGTAACAAATCTAACCTATTGGTTAGTTCTTTGTTAGACATCTTATAGGGTGTAGCTAGAGTCTCTGTTTTAATTATTTCTTCTTTATCCTTCCCTTGTCCTTGTCCTTTAAT